AAAGTTATTCAATGTAATCAATTCCTGCTTTCAGACGAAAGGCTTGGAAATCATCTCCTCCTCCCTCTTCCACAAATGAACCCAAAGCGCTGCTCAAAGCAGCCTCCTACAGGAGATAGCTCTGAGGAGTTGACCACGGAGAACTGTCGGGAACTGAGGCTCCAGAGAACTTTGCTATCGTAAAATGCCTGAAGGGCGCCATTGTTTAGGAATGAGACTCCTATAAATCCCATTCTCTTTATTTCACAGTGAAATAGCAAGTGTGAGGAAAACTATGAGAATAAATATGGTAGATACTTATTGAATGAATAAAGCACTTTATCTTTTTAATCTTCTAATTCCATCTCGAGGCACTGATGATGGGAAAAAGTGCCTTGCACAAACACTGAAATTATATATTTTTTAATAAGGAGCCTCTTCTGAAAAACTCAAGGTGGTGGCAGTTAGCTCTATCTAATAGTCCCTGTGTTGCAATATTTAGAGGGAATCATCTAAAACATAAAATAATCCATCAACATAATAGAAAGTAATTAACTTACTAAAAAAAAATAAGGTGACCAAAGGATTAAAAGTATTCATCACACATCAAGGCAAGCAATATTGCAAAGATCTAACATCTAACTATTAAAAAGCAACTAGCAATAAACAAAGATCATATCATACAGTTTCACTGCATGGCAATTTATGTGTTCCACAATATGGAATTAGGGAAATGAAGGCATAATTAAGCACAAGGAAGGAGTCGACACAGAGAAAGGGAAACTGCTTTGGTTCCATCTTTTTCAGTCACCCATGCATTCAACAAACACACACTGAAACACCATGCTGGGTTCTGAAGACAAAGTCAAGTGAGACACAATGCAGACCCTCATCAAACTCACTATCTGCTGAAGGTCTATGTTATAGAATGTGATAAAAGCTTCAAAGGGGGAAAGTACAGGCTGCAATGGGAGCTCAGAAGCAGTCCAAACTAAAGGGAGTTAGCGAAGGCCTCTTGGGTACAACAAATCTATCCTTCCATCCAATAGAACCATTAACTGAAGGGAAAGATGCTTATTGTATTAAAATACCTACTATACCAATACACAAAAAAGTGAACAGGCATTCTTCTGAGACATGGAATTATGGGTAATTCTAATCTTCTACTTTATATTTTTCTTCATTTTATATACTGAACATGTATTATTATTATTATTTTTCTTAAGGCGAGGCAACCCTTGGTTGACCTCACAGATTGCAAGGACCCTGTCAGTTCACAATCCTTTATTTTTTATGCCTAAATTACCTGGTCTTCCTAGGTGGTCTCCCATCCAAGTACTAAGTAGGCCCGACCCTGCTCAGCTTCTGAGATCAGATGGGATCGGGCTTGTTCAAGGTGGCTTAGCCATAGACAGCATGTATTACTTTTATAATTAGAAACAAAATAGTAAATATCATAATTATGAACTAAAAAGGAGATAAAAAGAACTACCA